GCCATCAATACAGTGTGTAACCACGCTGCCTCCAGTACTGTGCCATCAGTACAGTGTGTGACCACGCTGCCTCCAGCACACTGCCATCAGTACAATGTGTGACCACGCTGCCTCCAGCACACTGTCATCAGTAGTGTGTGACCACGCTGCCTCCAGCACACTGCCATCAGTACAGTGTGTGACCACGCTGTCTCCAGCACACTGCCATCAGTACAGTGTGTGACCATGCTGCCTCCAGCACACTGTCATCAGTAGTGTGTGACCACGCTGCCTCCAGCACACTGCCATCAATACAGTGTGTAACCACGCTGCCTCCAGTACTGTGCAATCAGTACAGTGTGTGACCACGCTGCCTCCAGCACACTGCCATCAGTACAATGTGTGACCACGCTGCCTCCAGCACACTGTCATCAGTAGTGTGTGACCACGCTGCCTCCAGCACACTGCCATCAGTACGGTGTGTGACCACGCTGCCTCCAGCACACTGCCATCAGTACAGTGTGTGACCACGCTGCCTCCAGCACACTGCCATCAGTACAGTGTGTGACCACGCTGCCTCCAGCACACTGTCATCAGTAGTGTGTGACCACGCTGCCTCTAGCACACTGCCATCAGTACAGTGTGTGACCACGCTGCCTCCAGCACACTGCCATCAGTACAGTGTGTGACCATGCTGCCTCCAGCACACTGTCATCAGTAGTGTGTGACCACGCTGCCTCCAGCACACTGCCATCAGTACAGTGTGTGACCACGCTGCCTCCAGCACACTGCCATCAGTACAGTGTGTGACCACGCTGCCTCCAGCACACTGCCATCAGTACAGTGTGTGACCACGCTGCCTCCAGCACACTGCCATCAGTACAGTGTGTGACCACGCTGCCTCCAGCACACTGCCATCAGTACAGTGTGTGACCACGCTGCCTCCAGCACACTGCCATCAGTACAGTGTGTGACCACACTGCCTCCAGCACATTGCCATTAACACAGTATGACCACGCTGCCTGCAGTACACTGCCTAAGGTACAGTGTGACCACGCTGCCTGCAGCACACTGCCTAAGGTACAGTGTGACCATGCTGCCTCCAGTAAACTGCCATCAGTATAGTGTGACCACGCTGTCTCCAGTACACTGCCATCGGTACAGTGTGTCCACGCTGCCTCCAGTAAACTGCCGTCGGTGCAGTGTGACCACGCTGTCTCCGGTACACTGCCATCGGTGCAGTGTGACCACGCTGTCTCCAGTACACTGCCATCGGTACAGTGTGACCACGCTGCCTCCCTCCAGTACAGTGTGTGTGTCCAGACTGCCTCCAGTACAATGAGTGACCATGCTGCCTCCAGTATACTGCCACCAGTACAGTGTGACCATGCGTCTTCCAGTACACTGCCATCAGTACAGTGTGACAACAGTACCTCCAGTACACTGTCATCAGCACAGTATGAATGACCACACTACCTCCAGCACGGTGACCACATTATCTACAGTACAGTGAGTGGTCACACTGCCTCCAGTACATAGTAAAAATGATCACACTGCCTCCAGTACAGCATAAAGATGACTACACTGCCTCCAGCACAGTGCAAAGATGACCACACTGCTTCCAGTACAGTGTAAAGATGACCACACTGCTTCCAGTACAGTGTAAAGATGACCACACTGTCTCCAGTACAGTGTAAAGGTGACTACACTGCCTCCAGTATAGTGTAAAGATGAGCACACTGTGATAACCACAGTCTCTTGCACTTCACTGTTTACCAGAGTCTTGGTGGTGATACATCACAACAATCAAGAAACCTGAGAGCTGTTAAACAATCAAGAAGCCCAGGAACTGTCAACAATCAAAAGGCTCAAGAGCTGTCTACAATCAAGAGGGCCAGGAACTGTCTACAATCAAGAGGCCCAGGAGCTGTATAATTCACATCAATTTCCACTTTGTGATTATATTGTGTGGCTGGTAAATTATTATTATTATAATCAAAAAGAAGCGCTAAGCCACAAGGGCTATACAGCGCTGTGGCTGGTAAAGAGCTGCTCCAAAGAATTGGATCTACATTCCCCTTCTTTGAATCAAACCTGATTACCTCCCATTCTTCAAGTGTTGTAACCTCCCTCAGTGTTTAGCACTTCCCTACTAATACATATACAATGGTACCTTGACTTATGAGTTTAATTTGTTCTGTGACCCAGCTCGTAACTCAATTTGCTTGTATATCAAATCAATTTTCCTTGGTGAAATTAAATGAAATGCCATTAATCTGTTCCAGTGGAATTCCTGGCTCTCAGGAAGCAGGAGAAAATACTTCAATATAACACTAACATCAACTCTACAACTTATTTATCTATCGAAGTTGATCTAATATGACATAATAAACAATATAAATAACATAGAAACATGATATATACTCTAGAATGAGTAAGATATGTCATTATGTGACGAGTGGTGGCAGCCATTCCCGAGGTAAAAATAATCATCGCTCAACCAGTGTTTGTGAGGCTAACTGCACTAAAACACTAGTTTCAATCAGTACAGTGTGTGACCACGCTGCCTCCAGCACACTGCCATCAGTACAATGTGTGACCACGCTGCCTCCAGCACACTGTCATCAGTAGTGTGTGACCACGCTGCCTCCAGCACACTGCCATCAGTACAGTGTGTGACCACGCTGCCTCCAGCACACTGCCATCAGTACAGTGTGTGACCACGCTGCCTCCAGCACACTGCCATCAGTACAGTGTGTGACCACGCTGCCTCCAGCACACTGCCATCAGTACAGTGTGTGACCACGCTGCCTCCAGCACACTGCCATCAGTACAGTGTGTGACCACGCTGCCTCCAGCACACTGCCATCAGTACAGTGTGTGACCACGCTGCCTCCAGCACACTGCCATCAGTACAGTGTGTGACCACGCTGCCTCCAGCACACTGCCATCAGTACAGTGTGTGACCACGCTGCCTCCAGCACACTGCCATCAGTACAGTGTGTGTCCACACTGCCATCAGTACAGTGTGTGACCACACTGCCTCCAGCACATTGCCATTAACACAGTATGACCACGCTGCCTGCAGTACACTGCCTAAGGTACAGTGTGACCACGCTGCCTGCAGCACACTGCCTAAGGTACAGTGTGACCATGCTGCCTGCAGCACACTGCCTAAGGTACAGTGTGACCATGCTGCCTCCAGTAAACTGCCATCAGTATAGTGTGACCACGCTGTCTCCAGTACACTGCCATTGGTACAGTGTGTCCACGCTGCCTCCAGTAAACTGCCGTCGGTGCAGTGTGACCACGCTGTCTCCGGTACACTGCCATCGGTGCAGTGTGACCACGCTGTCTCCAGTACACTGCCATCGGTACAGTGTGACCACGCTGCCTCCCTCCAGTACAGTGTGTGTGTCCAGACTGCCTCCAGTACAATGAGTGACCATGCTGCCTCCAGTATACTGCCACCAGTACAGTGTGACCATGCGTCTTCCAGTACACTGCCATCAGTACAGTGTGACAACAGTACCTCCAGTACACTGTCATCAGCACAGTATGAATGACCACACTACCTCCAGCACGGTGACCACATTATCTACAGTACAGTGAGTGGTCACACTGCCTCCAGTACATAGTAAAAATGATCACACTGCCTCCAGTACAGCATAAAGATGACTACACTGCCTCCAGCACAGTGCAAAGATGACCACACTGCTTCCAGTACAGTGTAAAGATGACCACACTGCTTCCAGTACAGTGTAAAGATGACCACACTGTCTCCAGTACAGTGTAAAGGTGACTACACTGCCTCCAGTATAGTGTAAAGATGAGCACACTGTGATAACCACAGTCTCTTGCACTTCACTGTTTACCAGAGTCTTGGTGGTGATACATCACAACAATCAAGAAACCTGAGAGCTGTTAAACAATCAAGAAGCCCAGGAACTGTCAACAATCAAAAGGCTCAAGAGCTGTCTACAATCAAGAGGGCCAGGAACTGTCTACAGTCAAGAGGCCCAGGAGCTGTATAATTCACATCAATTTCCACTTTGTGATTATATTGTGTGGCTGGTAAAGAGCTGCTCCAAAGAATTGGATCTACATTCCCCTTCTTTGAATCAAACCTGATTACCTCCCATTCTTCAAGTGTTGTAACCTCCCTCAGTGTTTAGCACTTCCCTACTAATACATATACAATGGTACCTTGACTTATGAGTTTAATTTGTTCTGTGACCCAGCTCGTAACTCAATTTGCTTGTATATCAAATCAATTTTCCTTGGTGAAATTAAATGAAATGCCATTAATCTGTTCCAGTGGAATTCCTGGCTCTCAGGAAGCAGGAGAAAATACTTCAATATAACACTAACATCAACTCTACAACTTATTTATCTATCGAAGTTGATCTAATATGACATAATAAACAATATAAATAACATAGAAACATGATATATACTCTAGAATGAGTAAGATATGTCATTATGTGACGAGTGGTGGCAGCCATTCCCGAGGTAAAAATAATCATCGCTCGACCAGTGTTTGTGAGGCTAACTGCACTAAAACACTAGTTTCATAAGGACAACACTGAAATAAAAGTGATTTCCTCAGAATTTTTTTTTTCCCCGAGTCAGGAGACTGGCCTACGTTTTGGGTGAATATCTCAGAAGTAAATCAGCATAAATGCTCGCAGAGAAGGCACGAGGCACGAAGTCCTTTGCACTTTCTTAGGACCCATGGTTAGAAAAAAGAAATTTGGCAAAATAACTGAACAAAACGTAAGTACAACACAAGAGATATGCTTCCACGGCGAGGTAACCATGTGCACTGTGGTGTTTGCTGCACCAACTACTGGCAGCGTATCTGAAGCTTGCTCATAACTCAGATTTTGGCTTGCAATTCAAAGCAAACAATCAACCGAGTGACGGCTCGTAACTCGGAAAACTCATAAGTTGGGGCACTCGTAAGTCAAGGTACCACTGTATAACAATACGTACAAGTGTGGGGAATTAAAACACAAGTAGTATTTAGTTTATACTTATCACTATTAGATGGGTGGTAAACCATATTACCCAGTATTATAATACTGCAGTTAAATTTGCAGTAAGCAGCATAACTTGTAAGGAATTAGAGGAAGAGCAGGAGCAGCATTAGCAGCACGATATTCATGGCTAGTCAGGAATACAACAGCAATAAAACAGTTTTTTCCTTCTACCCATTCTTCCTCATTTCTTTCTAATAATTACATTCAACACAACTACAATATTCTGCATTCAAAATTTACAAAGTCTGTAATAATTGAGTAATGCAATTTGTCCCAAGGTGTTTTCAATATTTAAATAAAATTGATGCATGACTGAGCTGACATTAAACAAAATGCTTAGGAAAATGAAGATGTCTGATTACAATACTGTACAAATAAGATAAAAAAAAAAAAAATAGCCAGCTAGAAAAAAGGTAAGGAATCATTGGAATAGTTATTACTAATTTAGTATGCATGTAGCAAAGTGCAAACTCAAGTTGCAGGGACTAAGCTGAAATGTGTTTTTCAGCAGTGTACTAAATACGGAATTAATGTAACAAAGACAGCCACAATAGAGAAAGTGCTTGACGAGATAAGATTTGAGATGTATGCCCAAGAGGTGAGAGAATATTTTGTGTAAAATTAATTTCAAACATTAAGAAAAAGAATGAAAGCTATTGATTTAAAATAATATAAAGTAGTGGAACATACTGTGTGTACAGTATTGCACATGGAAATCTTGACCAAGCAAGTACTACTTAAATGAGTTCAATAGTACACTAGTGTTTTAAGAGAAAAATTAAACAAAATTTACTTTAATAAATGATGACAATATAACTGAATTAATGTAATTCTAATGAAAAGCCAATGTTTTTACATATACAGTAATAAAGTTTTTATGAGCAGTGCTGATTTTGCAGCTTTTAATTGCAAAATGAATTAACAACTAAAAACACTACTATTATATTTCAGTAATGAATAAACATTTAATACAGCATAGCCCAGTATATTTCAATTGAATAATTACAGTTTTTAAAAAGGCATTTGCCTATATGAGTAATAAGCTGTTACTCTTGAGCCACAAGCTACCCAGGCTGCTTGTGTCTGAGACAACAGACTGCTTGTCTCACCTGGGATGACTGACAATCATTTCCATATTGACATTGGAGGCTTCAAGGTTAAGCACCTTAAACTTGGTGTCAGGCCACAAAACTTCCAACCTGTCAGCATAGTAAATAAATGTTCAACTTTACATACATCAGAAGAACGTTCTGGATAATTAAAAGACAAAAAACAAATATTTTCTTAATTTCATGAATACAGATATACAGGAAAACCCTGATCTAACTAATTGGGGAAATAATGGATAGAATCCGCTGGGGTAAATTGATTTTTGAAACAGACAAATCTATTGGTTACAAAGTTGTCTGTTACACTGCAATCCACTGGATAACTGATTTCAGAAAGGGACAAAATCTGTTGGTTACAGAATTGTCTGTTATTATTATGTTCATGGCAAAACAATCTCATTATTCAGATTTGCCAAACAACTGGCACTGCCAGGCATTCTTTACCTCATCTTAAGCCATTAAACTGAGGTTTCACTGTATGATGAAGGAGGTTCTAATAAGCTCACTAAAGAGTACTGTCATCACAAAGAAAATTAGATGATAATGTTTATAATTTTTTAACGTGCTGGCCATCTACAGAGGTAGGATAATCCTAAAAAGAAGAAACAATTCACCACCATTCACTCTATCACTGTCTTGCCAGAGGTGTGCTGATACTATGGTTCAGATGCCCCTCTAAACTGCAAATATCCCTACCCCTCCCTCAGAGTACAAGCACTAGTTTCTACCTCCAGGACTCAAGTCTGGCTAACTGGTTTCTCTGAATCTCTTCACAAATGTTACCTTGCTCATACTCCAACAGCTCGTTAAGTCACGAAAACCACTTGCCTCTACTCCTATCTAGCAGGCTCACATATGCCTGCTGGATGTCCAAGCCCCTCGCAGACACAAAACTTCCTTTACCCCCTCCCTCCAACTTTTCCTAGGGTGACCCCATCACCTGCCTTCCCTCCACTAAAGAGACATACACCCTCTAAGCCATCCTATTTTGTTCCATCCTCTCTAAATATCTAAACCACCTCAACAATTTCCTCCTCATCCCTATGGCTAATACTTTAAACCTGCACCTCGTCCTAATCTCCAAGCTACAAATTCTCTGCATAATATTTACACCACACATTGCCCTGGGACATGACATCTCCACTGCCTCCTCCTCCTTGCTGTAACATTCACAACCCATGCTTCATGCCTGGATAACATTCGTTGTCTCCACAGATGCCTTAATGCACCACCCACCTTTTTTACCTCATCAAGTCTATCGTTCACCTCCTCTTTCATAGATCCATCTACCACAACTCCACTCCCAAATAGTGTATCTGAACACATCCACTTCCTCCATACTCTCTCCTTCCAATCTGATATCCAATCATTCGTTACCTAAATCATTTGCTACCTTCATTATCTTGCTCTTTCCTATGTTCACTTTTAATTTCCTAATATTACATACCCTCCCAAATCTGTTCACCACCCAGGGAAATACTACTGTTCAGCCAAATGAATATGAAATGAAAACCTGTAATAGTTTCACACAATACTGGTGCCTTTTCTTTGTCTCATAAACATGCAAGATAACAAGTACATCTTGCTACTTCTACTTACACTCAGGTCACATTACACAAATTTAGATAACTGCTCTACTAACTTATTTTGATCCATCCTTCCTACAGAGGGAGAGAGAGAGAGAGAGAAAGGGAGGGGGAAGGGGGAGAGAAAAGTAGTCCTAGATGCTCACCCTATTCAAGCACTGTACCTAATGCTTGCTTAACATGTGAATGTAGTGAAATTATAAATATAAATTAAACAGTTTAAATTAGCAGCTTAATGAATTGAAACTTACCTAACCGGAATGTCACAGTCAATGCCAAAGTGTGCTACAGGTTCCATTTGACAGAGGTACCCTGAACCTGTATCAATAATTCGAGCCTGACGTCCTCTGCTAGTGTGCAGGGTGACTTTGGCACCTCTAGCTGGGGCTCCTTGCTGAGTCAGCACCCGCACACGTAGCCATCCTCTGTTAAGTGCCTTGAAAGACAACATTAGCACAGGTGAATTATAATGGAGCTATATGAAATAGCATATAATACAAAGTTTAAACACTTTAAACTGTAATTACAGTGGAACCTCAAAAATTGAACTTAATCCGTTCCAGGAGCTAGTTCTAAATTCGAAAAGTCTGAAATTCGAAGCAATATTTCCCATAAGAAATAATGGAAATACAATTAATCCGTTCCAGAAACCCAAAAATATTCACACAAAAAATACATTTTATAGAGATTAATTACAGTTTTACATACAACAAATACTATAGTTTTTAATTATGTATAGTAATACATATAAAATAACATTTTTACTTACCTTTATTGAAGATTGGTGATGGCATCTGGAAGATAGGGAGGAGGACAGAGGGAGTTGGGGTTAGTGTTTGGAAGGAGAATCCCCCTCCATGAGGACTTCAGGTAAAGCCCTCTCTGTCTTTTAATGCCACTAGGACCAGCTTGAGAGTCACTGTACCCCTGTCTCACAAAATAAATGTCCACAGTCCTCTGTTTCTGGCACCTCTTTAACATTTCCCTAAAATAGGACATGGTTCTGTCATTGAACTTGTTGCAAAGATGGCTTGTTTCAGCTTGCTCAGGGTGGTACTTCTGCACAAACATTTGGACATCAATCCACTTGGCACAAATCCCCTTAATCTTTGAAGAAGGCACCTCATCCACTCCCTATATTAATACCTTTCGCAACATCAGCTTCCTTGATTTGTTCTTTCTTTGACAGGATAGAACCGATGGTCGACTTGTTTTTCCCATACATCCTGGCAAGCTCAACAAGTCTCACACCACTCATACTTCTGTATTATTTCCTTCTTCACATCTACGGTGTTTCTCACTTTCTTTACCACAGGGGTACCACTAACAAGTTTCTTTGGGCCCATGGCAGCTTATTTCACAGTCCCACAAGCCTTAAACACAACATAATAATCGTAAAATGCATGAATGAGAGCACAGGTTAGTGTTCACTCAAACATAAACAAAGCTAGACTGCTCACGGCGCCTGTGCGGGGATGCAGACAGAGCGGCAGAAAGGTCCCATACCCGGCGGTCCAAAAATAGGGGCGCGTTCGATAATAGGGACACAGTTTGTCCGAAAAAATGGTCCTATTTTCAAAGCGTTCGATATGTGATACATTCGATTTTTGAGGTTCCACTGTATTATTAATAATAATAATAATAATAATAATCACAAACAAACAGTAAACCCATGAGGATCATGCAGCACAGAGGAAAATGTATCGAGACAAAAGAGCAACAGGTGTAAAGCATGAATGCAAGATCCTGTGAATTGGAGGCGAGAGCAAACCAGACACAGAATGCAAAATGAATGGCATGAAGCTGCAAATATCATAGAGATGACAAGTACCTGGGGTGAATATAACATCAAACAGAAATACACACAAATCACATAACACCAGTAGCACATGCCAGATTGACAAACCTCAGAATAACAATCACAAACTTGAAAAATATATCCTTCAGTACTTTATGTTTAAACAAGTTAGGCCAATCACTGAGCAAGCAACTGGTCAGCAACAGGAAAAGCTCAAAAAAGTTCAAAAGTTTGCAAGTAGGCAAGTACCAGAACTGAGAATGGTTAAAGAAACTGAACCTGATGACCTTGGCAGAGAGAAGGACAAAGGGAATCATGATTATGAAATGCAAAATTGTGTGAGAATTGGATGGGCAGATAGGGACTGACTGTTTTAAGAGGACCAAGATCAAGGGGCCAGGAGGGAGATGAGCCACAGGGATGTAATAAAGTACTTATTTAGTCTCAGGGCAGTTGAAAAGTAGAATGACTTGAATGAGGCAGTGGTGGATGCAATACCCAACTTCAATATTAGATATAAGGAACAAGAAGACATAATCCATTGTTTTTGTGGTTATTGAGTGCAACTGCGAAATAAGTCACAATGGGCCCAAAGAAAGTTCCTAGTAAAGTTCCTTTGGTAAAGAAAGTGAGAAACACGATGAAATTTAAGTTAGAAATTGTTGAAAAGTATGAGAGTGGTGTGCTTGAGCTGCCAGGATGTATGGGAAATCCAAATCAACAATCACTTCCATCCTGGCAAAGGAAGTAGAAATCAAGGAAGCTAATGTTGCAAAAGGGGTAAATGTGCTAACAAAACAAAGGTCACCAATAATCGAAGATATGGAGAAGTTATTGTTAGTGTGGATCAACGAAAAACAATTAGCGAGAGATAGTGTTGTGGAGTCGATCATTTGTGAAAAGGCATGTGGATCTTGTAAAGAAAATGCCTGGAATGAGTGCTGCTGTTAGTGAATTTAGGTCCAGCAAAGGCTGGTTTGGGAGATTTAAGAAGCGTAGTGGCATACACAGTGTTGTAAGGCATGGCAAGGCTGCAAGTTCTGACAAATGTGCGGCCGAAGCATTTGTTGATGAATTCAAGGGGTACGTAGAGGCTAAAGGATTCCTCCCCCAACAAGTGTTCAATTTTGACAAAACAGGCCTCTTTGGAAGAAAATGCCAAAGAGGACCTACATCACACAGGAGGAAAAGGCACTGCCAGGATACAAACCTATGAAAGACAGGCTTACTCTTGTTCTGTGGTAATGCTAGTGAGGATTTCAAAGTGAAGCCTTTACCGGTGTATCACTCTGAAAATCCCCAAGTGTTCAAGAAAAACAATGTCATCAAGAGTAAATTGTGTGTGTTGTGGAAAGCTAATAATAAGGCATGGGTCACGAGACACATTTTTATTGACTGGGTCCATGAAGTATTTGGCCCGAGTGTGAAAAAAATTACATACCTCCAGGAAAATAAATTGCTACTCAAGTGTCTCCTGGTACCAGACAATGCTCCTGTTCATCCTCCAAACTTGGTAGACCAATTGTCTGTGGAATTAAGTTTTGTAAAAGTGAACACTGACTTGACCCTAAGAGAGTTCTGGAGGAATCACTTCAATATCCTCCACTGCATAAGCCTTATAGGTAAGGCTTGGCAGGGAGTGACTTCCAGGACTTTGAACTCTGGTTGGAGAAAATTGTGGTCAGAATGTGTCCTCGACAAGGATTTTGAAGGGTTTGAGTCTGACCCTGACGACCCTATGCCTGTTGTGGAATCTGTTTTGTCTTTGGGAAAGTCCATGGGGTTGGAGGTGAGTGGCGAGGATGTGGAAGAGTTGGTGGAGGACCACAAGGAAGAGCTAACCACTGAAGAGCTGCAAGACCTTCATCTGGAACAGCAACAGACCACAGCTGAGGAAATTGGTTCAGAGGAAGAGGAAGAGAGAGGGAAGAATATGCCTTCTTCAGTGATTAAATTAATTTCGTCTATTAATATTTACAATGACTGTATCAGATCAGTGTAAGTACCTGATAGATTCCAAAGTGCTCTGATTACAAGATGGATAAATGTGTACATAGTGTACCAACATGTGTGTACATTTGTGTATGAGTATGTAAGTGCATTGTGTACATATGTGTATGTACATGTGTATGTATATGCACGTGTACAGGTGTGTGTACTCATGTACATGTATGTGTGGATATGTACATTGTGAATGCACATGTGTGTACATATGTGTGTGTGTACATGTGTGTGTGCATGCACAAGTGTGTACATGTGTGTGTGGGAGTGTGTGTACATGTGCTCAGCTATTTGTCCTCACCTATTTGTGGTTGCTGGGGTCAGTTCACTGCTCCTGGAAACACAAAATATATTCCAGAATTTATAATGTGTGTGTGTACTCACCTATTTGTGGTTGCAGGGGTCGAGTCACAGCTCCTGGCCCCACCTCTTCGCTGATTGCTACTAGGTCCTCTCTCTCCCTGCCCCATGAGCTCTATCATACTTCGCCTTAAAACTATGTATGGTTCCTGCCTCCACTACATCACTTTCTAGGCTATTCCATGGCCTGACTACTCTATGACTGAAGAAATACTTCCTAACATCCCTTTGATTCATCTGAGTCTTCAACATCCAATTGTGACCTCTTGTGTCTGTGTCCCATCTCTGGAACATCCCGTCTTTGTCCACCTCGTCTATTCCGCGCAGTATTTTATATGTCGTTATCATGTCTCCCCTGACCCTCCTGTCCTCCAGTGTCGTCAGGCCGATTTCCCTCAACCTTTCTTCATAGGACAATCCCCGTTGCTCTGGGACTAGTCTTGTTGCAAACCTTTGCACTTTCTCTAATTTCTTGACGTGCTTGACTAGGTGTGGATTCCAAACTGGTGTGTGTGTGTGTGTGTGTGTGTGTGTGTGTGTGTGTTCTCAACATACTTTCAACATACTGGCCATATCCCACTGAGGTGGGGTTTCCCAAAAGGAAAAACGAAAGTTTCTCCTTTTACATTTAGTAATATATACAGGAGAAGGGGTTACTAGCCCCTTGCTCCTGGCATTTTAGTCGCCTCTTACGACATGCATGACTTACGGTGGAAGAATTCTGTTCCACTTCCACATGTGTGTACATGTGCTCAGCTATTTGTCATCACCTATTTGTGGTTACTGGGGTCAATTCACAGCTCCTGGAAACACAGAATTGCAGAAAATATCTGCCTGGATGATGACTAATAAACTTACCCTGAATACTGATAAAACCTATTTCATTCAGTTTGGAAACAAAGCTGCAAATGATCCGATTAACATAACGCTAAATGGATCATCAGTCACAAGACTCACAGAGAGAAAATTCCTAGGTATCCACCTTGACAGTAGCCTTAAGTTCTGGACACACATACAACAAATCACCAAGAAAATCTCCAAGACTGTAGGCATACTATCAAAGATAAGGTACTACGTTCCACAATCAGCTCTCCTGGCACTGTACCATTCACTCATATACCCTTATATATAGAATTTGTGCATGGGGATCAACAACATCCATTCACCAAAAACCCCTCATAACCTAGCAAAAGGCAGCAGTAAGAATGATAACGAATTCCCACTCCCGCCAGCACACTTCACCAATTTTCAAAAGTCTGAATCTGCTCACCATTAAG